GGACAATGAGGACGAAGGAGAATGTTGGTGGTCCTGTGGTCCACGCCCCCCCCCCCCTTTCGTAACCGCTAACACTAAATGCTCAATGTTTAAGCTATCTTAATCTATTCTGACCGTGGGACAATGAGAACGAAGGAAAATGTTGGTAGTCCTGTGGTCCACGCCCCCGCATGTCTCAAACTAGTAGAAAAAACGCAATCATCTATTTCGTTGTTTTTGAGCACTCAGGACGGCTGTCGTAATCGTAGCTTCCTTGACATCAGAGGACTGGACAGTCTATTCAAACTTGCGAATTAGGTTATATTCGAGAGCTGTGAAGGTGGTAAACTGTGGCTTTTCCCCTTAGATGACCAAAGTACACAACGCAAGAAATCCCGGAATAGTAATAAAGCGGAGACATTTTTATCTACTGGCGTTTTTGAAGCAACAGAGCATCAGACAGATTTTAGTGGTCTGATAAAGGGCAAAATGACGTTCGTAAACTGCTTTACGAAATTTGTTCAGTGCAACTAGAATGGAAAATTGTTCCTTGTCAGTCGAACCCTTGTTATTTTCTGACGATTTTACCGAACGGACAGCATGATCAGTTAGTTTATCCGTTACGCTGGGAAAGACTTGGAAAAGAGGAAAGAACCGATACTGTGTTTGGATGCATTGAGCGCAGCGGTAATTCCTAACGCTAAATCAGAAGGTGTAAGCAGCAGGTTTGAGTTTAACACCGACAGAATTAGGTTAGAGGAATTTCGGGATCCAGATGATCAGTGCGACTTCGCGTGTTTGGCTTTTTACGTGTCTTTTGCGGACAAAACGCAATCTGATGAGTAGATGACTCGAGAAAGACTGGAGTGCACCTGCACTAGTTGTACTTGCGTCAGTGTTCTCAAGGTTTGAGAACAACATTGAAGACGGTTGTTACTGTTAAGCTAATCTATAGTATCAACCTGTGCAGCTTACAACAATAATACTGTCCAAATGTGATGGTAAACTTAGTACCTGTCCTCATGATATCTGTACTTTGTTGAAGGGTTGAATTTGAAGGTTCAACTCATCAGGCACTGTCAATAAGTCCTGAAGAACAGACGATCGGTAATTGCTGGCCTCTAAGTGAACTTTTGCGATGCCAGTTCATCACGTGCCACCTTGCCAGCAGTTGGGACAGTCCATCCTGGACGGCGCACACAACAGCGGTGACACCAACTTTTCCAAATCTTCCGAGCTCATGATCAACGGACGGAATTGGAGCATCGATGACTAGTTGTTTGAACCAGCGGTTCCGGTGGATGTCCAGTTTACTAAAGAAAACGCATTTCCTATCTGTGCAGCATCGATAACATACTATTAGTGGCTTATCGTTTGTGACACCAACTGAGTGACAGCACCCAAAGATAAAACATTGACAGGACTCAGGTCCGTGGAAACTCTATTCATCTGAACCCTCAAGGAACCCCGTTTTGTACCCAAGTATGAAAGATAAATTTTATTCTACTCAAACACAAAGGTAAGGAGTTCAAGCAAAAAAAATTTGAAATGGAAAATAAGGCATCCGACTTTATTTGATGCAGGTTAAACCACATACATTGAGAAAACTGTGTAAGGTTTGGCCAGAAAATGCCAAAATTCAGGGAGAATTCAGATAATTGCTGAAGCAGTTTCAACGCTTTTCAATGCATCACCCAACAAAATAGCTGCAATTCTAGCAAGACTCAGCTTCAGGTATAAAGGCAGTCGGTTAAACTTTGACGCAGCTCAGTGAATCTTAAACTCTTCGGTGCTTTGGTTCACAAAGCTCATCTATTCTGCCTTGTAGAGGTAAGCCATACTTGCCTGTGTTACCATTCGTGTTGAGTTTTTCATTTTTCGCGTTAAAAACTAAAGCTTGACGACTATAATAGAAGAAAACTCAATGAACTTGCGCTACTGCTCAAAATACAGACTGCTGTATGCTTGGTGATACTCTTGGTTGTTCAGCAATTCTGACTTTTGGGGAGGGGGTCAACCGCTGCTATTTTAGGTATTTTAAAATTGAGTTCAACGAACAATCCAAAGCGTGTCCAAGGCAAAAAATTCAGACCCAAATTTAGCTGTTTTCGTCGTAAAAAATTTTGAAATTACCTCACAAAATGAGGCAACTGCATCGCTACGAAATTGTTAAACCTTTTCTCCCATTGGAGTCACCGAAGGCTGTATATTTACCATGTTTGACATGAATGTTTTAAACACTTTCAGTAAACAAGGGACAGTACAAAACTCTAGCGAGTTGCCAAATGATGTGTGCTTTGTTCCGGTGATCTATTCCGGATAGTTTAACGTCGGCGCCGTTTCGTTCGTTCCAGGCATGGTCTACCACGCATTCAAATGAGAAAGCATTCCCACAGCACAAATATTTAGCCTTATGTGGTTAAAAGTTGCAAGTTTATTAGTGCCTTGGTTCAGGTCGATTTGACATTTTAGTGCTCACTCACGGAGCATGCATTTAACCCTCATGTAAAGTGGTGTATATCAGCTAAGTAGAAAACAGTGTCAACCTCTTGTTTTACCGAGTTAGATATGTTTTCACCTGCGCACGGTTTAGCCTGCGTAAATGGTGCATACGTCTGATACCTGTCATTTTATCTAGACAGCATCTTTCTTGAAAATGATCATATACGATGTTTGTGGTACTTTATTTGTACTCACTGGTTTTGAGTAATCCCAGATGGTATAAAACACTCCCAACCGTTGAAAGTTTCCGAAATAACTGCTGTGGGTGTCTTTCTTCACTATATTTTGCTTCGGGCTAAGGGTTTGTGCTCTAGAAGTGACATTTTGGATGAAGAGGTAGTAAACCGGGTCTCGAGTAAATGGAATACTACAGAGAGGTGATAATTATTCAGAAAATGTTCTCCGAAAAGGCTGTTTTCTAATTCGCCTGGGTGTTATCTTTTAGCTTGTGAACACGGGCTACTGGAGGTGCCTGAAACTCTGTCTGGTCGAGCTGCAACTTGGACTGTATCACATCTTAGTACGTATCAGGACGGACACATTGAGAGAGTTTTTATAAGCCCTATGTAATCGTTTGTACAGAAAAATGAGCAAAAAGCCACTGGAAAAAACGAACTCTTTTCTCATTCATTGGCTTTTGATTGTACCTGGAAATCGGGACATTTGATGAGCAATACCGCTTTTGGATAAATATTCTGTTGACTTTTGTTGAAAGAAGTTGACTTGTTGATCAAGGTGATATACTTTACGAGTTCCTAAATTTGTTCCTCACTTGAATCGAAAGTAAATAACATGATGTCACTATTGAGCCTTCTTATCTATTTAAGCGTGGTTTCAAGTCTTATCTGTCTGACCCGTTCTGCGTCATAAAACACTTCGTAAAAGTTTTCCACTTATCTAATTTACGTCATTTAGTTGAGAAGCGACATTTCTGTGTTCCCACCCTGTTCGTCCCCAATTACATCTTTTCTGAAGCGTCACTCACATGACCATTAAAGTTTCGTGTAATTCTTTACAAACACTAAAAACTAACTGGATTTTACTTAGAAATTTGTTTTTGGTGCTTTTAAAATTTAGAAATTGAAAACTAACGGATTTGAGTAATACAGAGTAGTGATCCTGATTGATAGGCTGTGAAAATATGACCCCGTTTCTCTAACCGTAATTAAATACTCATTAGGGTGTTTAACATATATTTGGAAAAATCCAGCGATGGAAGTGATTAAAACACGGTCCAAATCATCATACATAAAACAGGCACTTGTTTTTCGTTTATTTTGTCTGCGCAGATTACCCGTCCGCGCGACAAAAGCTGTTATCTTTGTTATTCTGTCGTCCTTCATTTTTTTATCTACCTCAAGTTGACTGAGTTCTAAATCTATTGAACACTTTTATCCGCAAAATTATTATTCCGGTTAGTTTAATTCCTAAGCTACTGGTTTGAATGTTTCAAATTCATGTTCTATAATGCGTCACAACTTACGCGATTCGGGTGAGCTATCAGACCGCCTACGACTAAATACACTGGACTGACGAATTCAAGGGGACATTGCACTTTTATGCGTATTTCACGATTGCCAGTGTCCAAGGAGCACCTTCATAATTTGATGCACAGGAGGGGAACGACTCCTACGGATTCCGGACGGTCAAAAATGATGATGCAGCTCAGAAATCAAATGAAACATTATTTGCATAATTTCAAAAACTAAACTAAACAGGCACAGATCCAGTATTTTCTTCAGAAAATAATTAGAATGTTGAATTCAACCTGACTTACATAGCATTCCGCATAATTGCGGTTAACTGTGATCGTAAAACTATACAGATTAAGCATACCATTTAAAATCAACGCAAAGGAGCACGATCGGCCTGCGATTTATTACACACAAGGGTTTCTATTGGGATCAGACGGTTTAGTACATCATTCTGGCTGTACTTCAGGCCCAACACAGTTTATTGCTTGTTGGACCATGCTTTTGAATAGGCAAATCTCCGATAGAAAAATCCTTTATGTTGTCAAGGCTACAATAATGAGTTTACTATTTCTTACTTTCTTGAACATTTCGTTTTTTCTCTAATTTGTTTTGTTTGCAAGCGCCACAAAATCTTGAATGTTGTAACGGCGAAATCCATGATTTGTTCTTTGTGTTATCCGCGCGGGTGTTATCTAACGGGCAACTATGGTACAATGGAGGAAAGTATATCTTGGGTTTTGACCTAGTCTGTGTGCAGTAAACACTAGCCAACGTTTTGTAATGCAAGTCAAGGTTGTAAACGTTTATCCATTGTTTTCTCGCTGAGCGGTCATGCAGCTGTCAATGCTCCATTTTTCATTGGACCAGAAACAGAATGCGTGTTTCACATTCTGATTGGTTATTTGCTAGGAGCCTTTCAACCTACCACAAAAGTTGCCCAACCTTCTACCTTCGAGGCAACTTCTAAGTCTGATAGAACTTTGTCATGTTGTGAGCTTGCAGCATCGAGATTCGGGCTCAAACTTCACGTCACTGTGTCTCAACATGAACACAAACGACACACTCGTGCGACGATGGGTCATGATTTCTCACTTTGAACTATGGGAAATCGTGCTGTTCACTGTTCTGTTTAGTTTACTTGTTATTGTGGCGGTTATCGGAAATGCCATCGTCTGTATTCTTCTCCGATTCCGCTATATGCGATGTGCACGTTATCTCAAATCTCTGTGTAATCGTGAAGCTCGGAAACTTATTGGGACAGGAATCTATCGAGAATATGTTACTGATAATCTGTGGGCAGATGAATGCGCCAGTAGTCAGCACGAGTGCAGCTGTGGCAAAATGGGAATCGCTTCAACTCCGGGTAGGGTGGTGATTTTCAAAAACACTGAATCGCGACCTGGAAGCTTGGAAGGTAGTACAGGTGCACTGACGGGAAACATCACCATAGTGCAGCCAAGCCTTAATTCCAACGCTCAAGATAAATCCAAGAACCGCTATAATGAACTCGTGCGTGCACTGTCAACAAAGCACCGTAATCGCAGTGGCCGCGGTGTCAGCATCACGAGTTTATTCTTGTTCAACCTAAGTTTGGCCGATTTCCTCATGGCTATTCTGTGCATTCCTCCGTACATTGTGACAGAGATTGCTGCGTTCTACTGGCCGTTTGGCGAACCTTTGTGCAAAATCATCAATTATTCCCAGGGAGTAAGCATATTTGTGAGTTCGCTCACGCACGTGGTTATCTCATTAGATCGGTTTGTACTCGTGTATTTTCCACTTCGCCCTCGAATACGTTATCGCACAGCTGTAGGTCTGCTTTTCGGAGTATGGCTTCTCGCAAGTCTGATACCTCTTCCAATCATGATTGTGAATCGCGTGAGGCTGTCAAAGACCGGCAGTCGTTGTGTGGAAGACTGGTCTCTACTCTTTTCGAATCTAACTACAAAAGGAAAGGTACCAAATATGGAGTATTTTCTGTCTATCTTTGACGGTCAACTCACAATTGAACTGCGATCAACCTATACTGTGATTCTAATGATTCTGCAGTACTTTGTTCCCTTAGGAGTAATATGTGGCACGTACGCAGCCATTGCTGTTCGAGTGAGTGGGATGCAAACACCCGGGGAACGTGATTTAAACAGAGACCAAAATCTTATCCGAGCAAGAAAGAAGGTAAGTCTAAAATGAAGAGTGTGCATCACTTTGAGAATATTATAAAAATGCCATGCTTTCTGCTGCCAACCAAAAGTAGGCTAGGGTGTCATGGGGTCTACACATTTCGAATGGTGACAGAATAATACGATTTCATCAATTCATCACCTTACCGGCTGATCGTATAGATGCGCGTATTTATTGTCGCAAGGCAGAAAAGTTTAGGAAAAGGGTCTAAGCACGTCATCCCAAATAATGCACCTCGGATAAATCTCGCGTCATGAAATGTCAAACGTTTTGCACTTCCGTTACTTCCATCACGGACTTTTGGCCCACTTTGTGGTGTTCCTTAAAACTTTGATTTTGCGCGTGCGCATAACAGCCTGTGTTGCGGCCTTCCTCGAAAATTTGGCACTGAGAACAGTAAAACCTTATGCCTTTTACCTAAACAAAACTCAGGAATTAAAGCTATTGAAACCCGAAAAATTAAGAGTATGTTTTACTCATTCAATGATAAAAATGAACAAACAGAAAAGCTATATAAAGGGCAATTTACTAGGATCGTCACCAAAGGGTGTGCAGTCAAATCGCGGCCCGTTCATTCTCAGATACCAGGTTTATTACACCAGCCTATCTGAAAATTTATACACTGTTTGCCAAACTGGTACGTTTGATTATTTAAGCCAAGGGGCACCGTGAATTTACTTTGCGTAGAATCTGCAAGTACCAGCTGTCACATCATTGCGGAAGAACTTGAATCAATATATAACGCATATCTGATTATCTGGACTTGAACAAAATACGTATACTCGAATAAATTACTGGTCGCAGCAAGTTAAATTAGTCTGGTTTCTTAACAGTGAACTCCGGACAGTTGTTTTCTTTGCTCTCAGACACTTTTTATGTGGTCTGTGTATAACATCGTCAGGGTAACCGAAAAAGACATGATGGGACTGTTACTTTGCACATTCGCGCACACAAATATCTGTAAACAAGTTGTAGATTGTGTCAGTCGCTCTTTAGACAGATGCACGCATCCCCACCAAAAGACGCTTTAGGAGTTAGTGAGATAAGACTACCTATCCAATGAAGGTCTTTTACGTTTTGTGGAGTCTCTAAGCATGCTTCCAACTGCGACATTTCACGGCAGAATTTCACTTGTAACCCGACGATTATCGTTGCACCGGTAATCCCCAAGTAAAGATTTTATGGTGCTGGTATATGTCATAATTCTCTGCTGGAGTGGAGTGGCCTCATGCGGCAGGAAATTCTGGATGCAATAAACTTTCTTCTTTGCCACAAAACCCATACTCCAAGAAAAGTGGCATGAAAACAGTACTGACTTTACGAGAAATACACTCATTTGCAAATTAATTTGGTTTTCACGAGAGACTCAGCTGAATCTATTGAGGAGTTTTCAGCAACCTTGTGAGTAGTTTCCTTTATGAAAAGCACTAAATCTTCTTAGCTGCTGGAAAATTATTCCAAATTATTAGTGTTCTTTCTCCCAGGACAGATAGAGAATAAAAACTGTATAAAAATTAGCATACCGGCTGATCAGCCTAATCTGACTTCGTTAGCCTTTTGAACGCGGTTCAACTAAAAGCACCCCGTAGAGCAAAGCATCTGACATCCACCAAACTGTGAAAGGATCCTAGAGGGAATCACTTAGTTTTTGTGGTAAAAAACTATAATTTGTCGATTTTTTTCGACCAGTGAAATTTGTTCAGTCGTCTCCAAACTACATAAGTGATTTTGTGTTGGGTGCATGATTTAACAGAAAAAATATTAGTGGAGAGGGTTGTGGTTCAATAATTTGAGCAGTCAGAGGAATAATCTGAGACGTACTCAAATTACCCAAAGTTCGGTTAGAAAGAGGCGCAGTTAAAGGATACATTGAATCTTTCAAGGTACGGGTAAGTAAATTATCTTTAACGTCGCCTTTGTGTGACACTGAATAGTGGGCTCACTGAAATTCCTGTGTCTGTAAAAAATAAGCCTAAAATCCAGATATTTTCACCAAGCTTAAGATAATACTGGCGATGATTGTGCTTCGTTTGGTCTGTAGCTACCTTGATGCTACATTCGAGTTCGCAACAAAAGTCCATTCCTAGGAATTAAACTTGCTTTCGTTTAACGAAGAGGTTTCGTTTACGTCAAATTTCATTTTTTACACTAATTTCGGTGCTTTTATTTCCGGGATTTGGTGAAAACGCCAACATTTTTCTTACGTTTCTGAGTAATAAATATTTTCCCCTCTCAACATCGCAGAACTTATGAATGTTTTGATAAAGTGGTGCGAGAGTAAATGACTCTGGATAATTTTAATATACAAAGCTGTTTTTAAACAGTTTTTTGGCAGTTGGCATTAGAGTGGAAAAATTGAGGTCAATCTGAGATTTCCAGCATGTCACTGACCCAAATCTCACCAAAAGTTCCCAAACGTGTTAGGTAAGTAATACCATATCAACAGCTTATGCCCACGGAATAAATTTTGATAAATTTCGAAAGTTTTTCAAAAAATACCAAATTTCATTGAATCCATATAATATGTTCTGTTATTCCGATTGCTGAAAAGTCTATAGGCATCAAAAATGTTTTAATGTTTACACAGTTTTCGTCGGAAAGGGATTTGAAAATGTAGAGACAATCTGGGTAGTCCTGTTGATGAGGCAATTGGTAAAATTTGTGAAGATCGTGGTTTCACCTCCGTGTGCGAACCTGGAATTCTATCTGTCTTTGTGTATCCAAACATTCATCAAGCAGTGGCGTCTTCTCTCCTTGCGTACAACGTCCTTTGCTCTTCGTACTCATGTATTCATTGCCTTATTGGTTCAGTTATTGTCCTACCTAATGTCTTACCTAATACGAGAACTGCCTTTATCTACTGCAGTTGAGGTTGGACTGCCAATGCCTGTCTGACATTTGGTGTGCCCTAGCCAATTTTATCCTCAGTCATCTGTTTCTTCATTCGTTGATTGTAAAATTTTGATAAGAGATGCAATCAACATATCTGAGTGACCATGCACTAAAGCAAACAATCCAAAATATCTATGCGCATTTGAAATTTATCCTAAGTTAACTTCTTTTAGCTAATAAACATCCAGTGAACAACGCATTTCACATTGTTTCTCATGAGGTCGGATAAATGCAAAAGCAACAAATGCCTTATTACATCATTGGATTTTCTAATTATCGTGTATAAATGATTTCATTTGGTTGACACGTCCGTAATGGCGTTTAGCAAAGTAGACAACCCGATGAAACTTTTGAAGGCTGGTAAAAATAGATATGGTTTCTTTAGTCTTTTGTGGAAAAGTGTGATTCTGACAATGGAAAACTCCCCAAGAGATTTCCTCGGTGCGCTCAAAATTTCAAACCAAGATTTTGCTAACTGAAAGTTCTTTTAGTAACAGTATTTATGACTTAATCTTATCATTTTTGTTAAAATGGGCAAGTCTCACGTAGGTGACCTTAGTGCGCACTTTATTAAGTTCGATATGTAAGAAAATTTCATGGCTAAGCGGGGCATGTGAATGCGCAGTCAAATGTGAGTGCACAGCGGGGTGTCTACAAGGTTTGACCAGAGAAAGCTGGACAGTTTGAACAGTAAGTCACGATGAAACGTATCGCGAAAATGTCAAACCAGGCTAACGTCATCTATGGAAGTGAAGCGCCATGTAATCAAATCGGAGGTGTGGGCGGGCCGACTGCGTTGACCTTACTCGTGCAATACCCGTTTCACGCTGGCATTTGCCTCAGTTTTGGAAATTTCGGTCATTTTTGGCGGGCCCTTTCTTGATTGATGTGACTGATATTGTGTTGTGAAATCCTACACGCGTACCGAGTTCTCAAATGAAATTGTTTCCAAGGGCGTAGAGATGAAATGATCAGTCTCTCTTTTGGTAGCTCTAGAGTAACAGTGCGTTTTGTTGTGGATTGTCTTATCAATGAAAGCTACAAACGTTTAACTGGAACAGATCGGTGACGACTAAACTAAGTTTTTATTGGTTGATTTTTGTCTTGCCATAGATAAAGCGGCTCAAACGGGGGACCTATATAAATTCATGTATTTTACATGGGTTCATCCGAGAAAGTAAATACCCATCAAATTTGAGCTGGGCACTCTTCCCTTCATGACTTTTAGCGCTTTAAACGACTTCGATAAGCCTGGTCAAAACGAATACACTAAGGATTTGTACAAGTTGAAAGTGTCTTTGATAACGTTTTTGTCATGTTAGTGAAGTGGCAAATTTCGGGCATGCTCTACACGCCTGTTTCATCCATATAGGGGTGCATCCCCTTCTGGAAAAAAGCAAATCCGCCGCCTCGTAGCTAGTAGTCGGCCGTTATCATACTTGGTCTCCAACAAGCCTTCACTAGTTTGAGTAACCCGTATCTAGAGCACAGCACCAGTAAGAGTTAAACATCCCTGATTCGTCGATTGTGGCCAAATGGTATAATCTCTAGTAACAGGATGGGAGTTGCGCACTGCAAGTGATTTACAACAAGGATGAAATAGCCGCGCAACAATTCTACGATTATCGACACAGACTGGCGGAAACACCACTGGGAATATCAACACTTTCTGCAACAGCCAAGGTACAAACCTGTTGGGTAAACTGTCCATGCTTATTGGACCAGAAATACAAATTTAAATATGATTCTCGTGACGTCACTGCACGCCATTTTTCTTAAGAATGCAATTTCGGTAACAATCCAGGAGTGTGTGTTGAACGATTTACATTTTGGTAATCCTATTAGTTCATCAAAACGTCCGTTAAACCTTATAATTGAATAGCACCAAAAATATTTATTCGCTTCCATTGGGAATTAGTCTGAGCAGTGTTCAAAATCAATAGAATTGTGACGTACATATGAGGGCAATTTCATCTGCAGATAATCAGGGTGGCTTGTGACGTCTCATCACCAGCATTCAACAGTTGATGCCCTCCCAAATGCATTTAGTACATAGTAGATATTCTTTGTGAGCACTCTCTCTATCAGAAAATAATATTAAT